ACTGCTGAATTTTGGCCACTTGGCAGTTCTCTTGTCCAAATTTCGTAAAATAAATACAATAAAAAAATTAAATCGGAGGCCGGGGCCGGACCGCCGAGCTGGAAGCAGGGCCGGACTGGCCCACCGGGATACCGGGAAATTTCCCGGTGGGCCGCGGCACCTGGGGCTGTCATTGCTCAGGCTCCTCTGATCCCGGCCGGCCATGTCCCCCATGTGTGAGCTGTGCGGCCTCACAGAGCTCCATGGGAGCAGGGGGAGCCAGGCGGCCGGCACAGCTCCACATGGCCGGCGGGATCATAAAATTTTTTTAAAGAATATCTGCGGCGGGGGCGGAGCTAGCGTGCGGCGGCGCTTAGCGCGCGGCGGGGCCCTGGCTGACTGCAGCATGGGAAGCAGGAAGGAGTCCCAGCTTCCCCAACAACCAGCCTCCAGGAGCTCCAAGCAGGAGGGAAGAAACAGGTCAGTGTGTCTGTGTGAGTGTGTGACTGTCTGTGTGAGTGTGTGGCTGTGTGTGTGTGGCTGTGTATGTGTGTGGCTGTCTTCCTGTGTGTGTGTGGCTGTCTGCCTGGGTGTCAGTGACTGTCTGCCTGGGTGTCAGTGACTGTCTGCCTGGGTGTCAGTGACTGTCTGCCTGGGTGTCAGTGACTGTCTGCCTGGGTGTCAGTGACTGTCTGCCTCTGTGTGTGTGTGTGCGCATCTGCTAGTGAGGGAGCCTCTGTTTGTGTGTGTGCCTGCTAGTGAGTTTGTGTGTGTGTGCCTGCTAGTGAGTGAGCTTGTATGTGTGTCAGTGAGCTTGTCTGTAGGGATCATATGTGTGTGTGTTAGTGAGCTTGTCTGTAAGGAGCATGTGTGTACAGTGAGCTTGTCTGTAGTAAACATGAGTGTGATCGTGAGCTTGTCTGTAGTGACCATATGTGTGTCAGTGAGCTTGTCTGTAGTGACCATATGTGTGTCAGTGAGCTTGTCTGTAGTGAGCATGTGTGTGTCAGTGAGCTTGTCTGTAGTGAATCTGTGTGTTAGTGAGCTCTTCTGTAGGGAGCATGTGTGTCAATGGGCTTGTCTGTAGGGAGAGTGTGTGCGCATCAGTGAGCTTGTCTGTAGTGAGTGTGTGTGTGACAGTGAGCTTGTTTATAGTAAGCTTGTGTGTGTGTATCAGTTTGTCTGTACTAAATTTGTGTGTGTGCCAGTAACCTTGTCTGTGTGTGTCATTGTCTGTCAATGAGCCTATTTGTGTGCATCAGTAAGATTGTCTGTCTGCGTGTGAGTATGCTTTACTGTATAATTGAATTACCCTAAAAGAAACTAATATTTTGAATTAGAAATGTATCAATAATATATATATATATATATATATATATATATATATATATATATATATATATATATATATATATATATATATATATATATATATATATATATATATACACACATACATACATATACAGTTGCATCACCAGGGCTCCAGTATATATAGGCAATTGAAATAGTTGGCTGCACTCTCTGATTTCCTAAAAATTTAACTTTTATTGAAATATTTAAGAGAAGATCAATGTTTCAGTCCCTCTTGTGGACTTTCGTCATGATCCTGATGCAAGTCAACAAGAGGGACTGAAACGTTGATCTTCTCTTAAATATTTAAATAAAAGTAAAATTTTAAGGAAATCCGAGAGTGCAGCCAACTATTTAAATTGTGTGTGTGTGTGTGTATGTATATGTGTATATATATATATATATATATATATATATATATATATATATATATATATATATATATATATATATATATATATATATATATATATATATATAACAATGACTTATGGGGCTGGCATAGATTTTTTTCCAGGGCTGCTTCGTATCCCCAGTCCGGCCCTGGCTGGAAGGCAGCATGGCAGTTCAGCTCCTACAAATTACTTAATAGCCGCAAAACGACGATTTTTAACCATACCAAGGACCGCCAGTGCCTGTCCTCAGTGTACAGGGGACACTGGCTCCCCGAGCTACAGTCCCCAGGAGAAGAGACCCTTGATGCCCTAATTGGGGCAGGCGGCCGCTACTCCACTATCCTGCCAAACAGAGAACGGCAACTGTGTGGATCTGGCCCTATTCCCCGCCCCCCCGTCCACCGGTGGGGGTGATCCCGGTCCGCACCCTGGGACCAAGACCAAAACAGAGCAACCCGGGGCCAGCCTCAAAACGTCTCAATTAAAATGGTGGCTGATAGAAGCGCTGAGGCCAGAGGGAGGGCATGCCTTCTCCCCGAGCCCGAAGGGAGCCATGAGACCTCCAGGAACAAGCTGGTCCGACATCTATTATGGCAAGCAACAAGCCACTACTATAGTGACCAAGCAAAGAAAGGCTAACCACTCACAGCCACCCATGGTGAGACCACTCCGCCAACTAATGACCAACCTACATCTGGACTGCAATAAACTCACAGGGTGCACCGATAATGCAGAGTCATATGACCTACATGAAACGCCGCTACTTTACCCTCTCACCGGCATTGAGCCCCAAAGCAACAGTCTCTCCACCTAGCCACAAAGCGCAACGGGCGGACAACATCCACAAGGCTACAAGCGAATGGACACAACAATGCTCCCCAACCCACTGGATAATCAGGCGTCCCCACTACTACTCCTACCGGAGCAACCGGCAGAACATGAACATGACTGCAGTCTTGAATACCAGAGGCAAGCATAAAACATTGTCTAAATATAATAGACTGCCAACATAAAGGGGGTGCTTAGTAACTCAGTCGTTTTTACCAGCTACTAGTCAGGAATATGGGGATCTGCACTTAACTAGCTAATACAGTTTCTTTTTCTCGGGAGGTGGGAGGCATAGCTAGTTGATCTGGGTCCAGGGAAGCACTTGTAACTGCTTAACTACTGAAGCACCACATATGGCAAGGCACACTGTTGATGTACAGGCTCCATCTCATTAATCGAGTTACTTGCTAAACCTAGCCTGATGCAATTAACGCTGACAGAACCCTATTACTTCACCTCTGTTCAGTTTTTATATGCCATAGCCTGGTCCTAGCCTGTATTTAAATAAGCAACTGAGTAATCGTTCTATCCTAGCCTGCAATAACAACCAGTACAGCATATCTATGCCAATCACACTGTCATTGACACTGCCTCAACACTGCCTGCTAATCCGGCTATATTGCTTTAGGCAATCCTCTACCCTATTTCACTCTACTGTACGCTACTTTACGTTTAAAAACAAAAATATGGCAGTCTCTCTTAGGAGTGTATTACATACCATCTTGTACTCATGTTGGAATTACATATTCACACAAAAAAAAAATAATCAAAAAAAAAAAAAAAATCAATCATCAATTGCACAATTTGATTGGTGTGGGATTCAGCCACATTTCAGCTCAGAGTTTTGTAATTCATACGAACTGCTGTTTGTAACATAATTTATCTCCAAGTCTACTAAACACATTCTGCTTCTGTACATCCAAAGGTATGTTACAATTTGATCTACCATACAATCGTTTTTGAATCCTAAATAGGATTTATCCCCAAAATCATGACAAGTAAAATCTTTATGATTTCCTTTCACTAGTCACTTGCAAAGTTTTAAACAGCCATTGTATCTGTTACATTTGTTATTTTATACTGAATGTGGTATTCTATTCTACGTACAGTGTTTCAAAGGAATCAAAGTCCTGTGTAAAATGTACAAAACAAAATTATATTATAAATAAATTTATTTTTTCCTCTTGATAGACACCTGTGAGCTTAAAGTTTCCTAAAATATTGCCTTTGTGACCTATCCATGAGTGACAAATCGTTAAACATTGCTGGTGACAGGTATGCAAAAAACATGAAATATTTAGAATTCATCTTTAACTGCAAGAAATAACTAGTTAGGATTATGTTTTTATACCAACATGTGTCTATTTGCATAAACATGTAGGTACTTGTTTATTGTCTGCTTTGCAGTTGCTTTTAATAGTGGCAGATAGGAGTATACAGATCTGTAATTTGCTTACGATAACAAGTTAAATTGTGAAAAAAATAAAATAAAAAAAAAGTGCTTGAATTAAGACCAAAGAGGACAGCACCAGTTACACAGCCTTGCAACATGGCCGTGTATAAACTCTGAATTACTGGTATGTAGGGCGCTGATGAAAATTATTGATGGAGAATCTACATGCTTGAATATTTGATAAATATAATTAAATCTAGGCTCAAATGTATTAATTTAGAAAGCACGCTCTCAGATACAAGAGAGGAGGTCCAAAACAGGATTAAATCATGGGAAAATACATAGCGTGAGATTGTGTCTGAGATTTATTGAAAATCTAAGGACTTGCATAAAAAATAAATAAATAAATTTTAAAAAAAGGGCATGGCGACATCAGAATTGCCCATTTTTAGCAATTCCAATGCTTTCCCATGGGAAAGTATTGGGTTGTCTAAAATCGGCAAGGGACGGGGCCAAATGCTGTTTTGGCCAATCAGCACCTCCTCATAGAGATGCATTGAACCAATGCATCTCTATGGAGGAAAATTCAGCGTCCCCATGCAGAGCGTGGAGATGCTGAACGGCACTGCTGCCTACTGTGCAGCACTGAGCCAGGAAGCCCCTCCAGTGGCCATCTAAGGAGTGGTCACTTGGAGGTGTCCCTAGGGGCAATGCAATGCAATCCTTTTCTCTGAAAAGGCAGTGTTTGCATGAAAATTCCTGCATATAATGATCATAATGACCAGAACAAACTACATTAAGCTGTAGTTGTTCTGGTGACTATATAGTGTGCCTTTAAGCAAAATTACAAAAAATCATGCAATTTCTATGGTTTTTGCATACTGTGTAGACATTTTCACAAGCCAGTTAACTTTTTAAATAAAACTAGGCTTAAGAGCACCCAGTACAAAATTATTATTATTTTATTTATTTTTTTAAGTTGGAAGAATTCAAAACAAATAATGCACCCAAGAAAAAAATAAAAAAAATAAAAAAAAAATAAGTAGCAGTCAGTCAAAAACAGAACACAATAATAAATAAGGTCACTAGTAATTAACCAGCGATTTAGCAGACCTTGTTGAAGAATGTTCTACCAAGATGCAGTGGAATGGAAATCCACACAGTGGTTAGAATGAAACTTTCATTTATGATCAAAATAGGCAAGGAAAAAAAGGAAATACAACACCACATATCGTTTCTTAAATAATTTAATTGAAAAAAGTACTTCTTTATAAAAATTATAAAATGTAAAGTTATGATGAGAATTTGCACTCAAACACATCCCCATATTGTTTAAAGTGTGCGAATATGCGCAAAAATAAAAACAAAATAAAATAAATTTTTTTTTAAAAATCATGGTAGCAGGAAAAAAAATAAAAAAATACAATGGGAAGCATGTAATAGGGGAGCAGAATGGGGAGGAGAAAGGATGATCAGGGGAAGGGAGAGGGGATAGGAAGACATAGTGGGGTAGGTGAGACTGACACTAAATTGTCAAAGGAGAAGGGTGAGGGGAGGCAGATAGCAGATGGGATGAGTAGACAGAGCACAGTATGGGGAAATGGGGGGGTCTTGATAGGGACATATTTGGAAGGGTAAAAATCAGGTGAAATAAAAAGCAGCATTTAAAATAAAATGAATTCACTGTACCATCTCCTTATCTTAGGGGAATTAGCACAGATCGATGAAGGAATTTATTTTCAGACACAGTGGCTCATATTCACTAAGAGACTTGGACACAGTGTATGAGATATAACTACCAATAGCCTTGTACATCTGAACTATTGGATTTAAGTATCTCAAAAAAAGGAGTCCTTAGCAGCCCCCTCTCTAGAGGTGAGCAGACCATACAAGGCACTGCAGTGACCACTCGGCACACAGCCTTTTATTTCTTTGCGTGTGAGGAAGAGAGATTTGGGGCTTACTCAGAGTGCCTGCTGCAGATATCTATTAGAACAAAATGGATAGCTCTGCAATCCTGCATCTTTTACAAGTGTTGGTCCTGCAGTGGTGGAAGACACTTAAAGAGGTCTTACATTGTCTTACATGTACCCTTAGGGGCTCTCTGTTTACCCACAAATGAGCCGTAATCACACTCCTGTCGTCCTATACCACCAATTTATCCCTTACACGGTTTAAAGATATCGCACCAGTCATACACACATTCACTCACATACACTCTTCATACAGGAGGTCACCCAATAAGAGACAACGGGGAAAGCACAGTTTGGAGTCTGAGGTCTATCCTGCTCACTGCAGCAGATCAGCACTAAGTGCAAGTTCTCAGCAAGCAGAGGATAAAAAGTTAATATGTGCAAAGACTAACTCCACTTATAAACTCCCACCATGTGAAGAATTTGTGTGTGCACCCTTCAGCTTCCTATAGAGCCCTATCCAAGTTCATAATATTTCTTCAATATGAAGAGTCGTGTTCCATGTTCCTGGGTGTTGTGATCTCACACCTGGACAGGTAAAGTTTGGCTCATTTGCAGCCTCATATCCTGGACACTATTGAGAAGTTTCTTTTGATGGCCAGCCAGCGTCACCCCGATACGGAGCATGTCTCTGAAAAGTGGAGAATTCAGAACTGTTACACGTTTGCTTAATTCACTACTAGGTTGTCCAATGATTTCCCAGCTACATCATTACTCATAACCACATGTGGCTTGTTTGAGACTTACTCAGCTGTCATCTGGGCCACCAAATGGAAGGACGTAAAACCAGCACTCAGGAAGTTCTCCTGGTATTGGCCCATCTTGATTGCCTCTAACCAGTCACCAACGGTGGGAAAGGTTGTGTAATCTGGAACAGTCCGGTCAAGAAGCTGCTGAGATATCCTACAACCATTAAAAATAAAGTCAAACAAGTTAAAAATAAAGAGGGGTTGTGTGTAAAATGGAGTAATAAATTAAGATGTAGGAATATATTCACAATGAGAGATTGCTGTAGTTTGACTAAATGAAATCACTTCAAATAAAGCAATCCACTAACCCGGTTTGTGTGGGGCTGGTCACTTTCAGACTGGCGGCGTTCCGTATTAGCTTGTCCAGTGAGCTGACAATTTGAGAGAATTTGGGTCTTAAGTTCCGATCACGAAGCCAGCAATCCAACATGAGTTGGTGTAGAGCAGCAGGGCAATCCATAGGAGGTGGCAACCTGTAGTCCTGCTCCACTGCATTAATTACCTTAAAAAAGAGGGGGGGGGGGAGCCACAAAAATTAGTCAACTGTAAAACATGGGGGGTTTCACAAACTATTCCATCATTTTCCTGCTTTTCTCTTTGGTGGTTATGTATAAATAGCATATTTTAAGCAAATTCCTGAATGTGGAGCAATCACCATGGAAACCAAATGAATATTCTTTTTGATTGCTCAACCTTTAAGGAATACTCTTTATACATAGCCAACAATATATAAGTGAAGCTTTACTTACATCTTGATTTGACATATCCCAGTAAGGTCGCTCTCCATAAGACATCACCTCCCACATGACAATGCCATAACTCCACACATCACTTGCGGATGTGAATTTTCGATAAGCAATGGCTTCTGGTGCGGTCCAGCGAATTGGAATCTTCCCTCCCTAATACAGAGAGATACAACATTATCTTGCTCAAACATCTACTGTGACATTTTCCTTTAAGTCTTTAAATAGATGTAAATGAAACATCCATGTACAAAATAAAAATAAATAAATGTAAACAAACAGAAGAAGCACTCCTACACCCACACCACTGATTTCGAGGCCATTTGAAATTGTGACCATATTTTTTATCACGGATTGCTTATAGAAAATATGTATGCAAAGCTTTTTTTTAAAAAAAAAAAAAAAAAAAAATAGTTTCTGTAATGTAGTGGACCTTTGTTGGATGAAACACTAGGAGAGGACGTATTTTCTGTAGTTCTTTTAGTTCCTCAAGGTATGGGGTTACAGGACACCCCTTTTTATACAAAGCAAATTTAACTGCCATATACACCAGAACTTCAATTATAACAAAAATCTCACTGCTATCCACTGATCACTAAGCATAAGAGAATATGAAAGTCAACATAAACCCCATCTAGTGCCACTGTCCTACATGAGATTTACTAAATGAACCGCCTGTGTAAGTGTGCCTCTTAAAAGCCCCAGAAGGTACTAATTAGCTACATTACAACACTATGCCGACACACTCCTGCCCTTTTCACAGGGAACCGCTTGAACACACCATTACAGCCCTGCATAATGAATACTTTTCGTGGCCCGATTTATACAGATGGTATAGTCACAATAATAGGTTTTCCCCAAAACACTAAATGACTATGCATTCAATCATTTCCTCTCATAGCTCCTGCATGCCAATTCTCTTTACTGGTTCACAAACCCATCTTACCAAGGAGCAAGTGTATGTGGGATCAGAGCGGCTGTTTTCCAAGAATCTAGACAGGCCAAAATCAGACACTTTGCAGACAAGATTGCTGTTCACCAAGATGTTCCGGGCCGCTAGGTCACGGTGAACATAATTCATCTCTGATAGATACTTCATTCCTGATGCAATGCCTCGAAGTGTGCCCACCAGCTGGATAACTGTGAACTGGCCATCATTCATCTGAAAAGACAGTGACTACAGTCAAAAGATTCCAAGGCAAAAAACAAATCAATTTCACAACTGCTCTAGGAAAGGGCTACTGATTTAACCCAAGTCTCCTAACAAAATGACCTTTATTCCAATAAGCCATCTGATCTCAAATTATATACAGCATACTTCTATCTCATCTGTCTAGCAAATGATTATATATATATCTGATGCTCTATCCAGCAAATGGTGTACAACTGAGCCTGATGAAAGTTTTGTTAAACTGGAACGCTGAACCAATTAAACGTTACGTTTTATTTTTCCAGAATAAGTCCTAGGAGTGCCATTCTGCTAATTGTAAATTACACAAGCTCACGTGTGAACCTAGTCTAGTTGTGGATTGAAAATACATTTACAAGCTCACCCTGAGGAAGGAGTCAAGGGCTCCATTTTCCATAAATTCCGTCAGGATCATCACAGGCCGGCTCCTGGTCACAACTCCTTCTAGTCGGATGATGTTTGGATGATCAAACTGACCCATAATGCTTGCCTCGCTCAAGAAGTCACGCCTCTGCTGCTCTGTGTAGCCTGCTTTCAGAGTCTTAATTGCCACTAGTTGTTCCCTACGCCCAGCTTGTTTTAAACGGCCACGGCACACCTCTCCAAACTCACCTGGGGTGGGAGATTTAAAAAAAAAAAAATAAATAAAAAAAAACAAACAAACACAATTCACATATTTGATTTAAAAAAATATAAGTATTACAGTTTTAGGTTTACAGGCACAATGACAAGTCCAATGTTTATGGGGGAATTCCTATTTGTCAGGATGAAGAAAAAAAAAAATGCCCCCAAAAACCAAGGAAATTCTCCCCAAGCATATGCATTTGTGACTCACTGCCAATAAGAGCATTAAGTCAATTAGTGAATCTGTATTGTAATGTATGGCACACAATATTGCTTGGATATCTTAATTAGAAATAACCAAGCCGTGTTTAAAAACATTTTAAAATGATGCATGTACTTCGAAGGATCAAACAAACCTGCTCCAATCACTTCTTCAATCTTCACAAAGGATATATCGATTTCTTTTGCAAAATCTCTCACAGCTTCATTAGGATCTTCATATGTAAATGGATCAATATAAAGCTTCATCCCTGGAACCACTGCAAAAAAAGAGGGTAACATGTCTTGTGTGGCATATTTGGGCAATCTCAGGGTTAATGGGAAAACAATGATAACCACGTTATGTCTTTTATACAGTAAGAAGTATGTGGAAGCAGATGCCTTTCTGTAGAGGGGAGTTGAGATATAGGTGTTAAGTCAAAGGATCTACCATACTGACTCTACAGGATTAAGTAATGAATTTGTGGCAATTTTGGGGGAACGGACGTTTAAGTCTTTACGAGAACTAGCCAAAGTGACTGACCATACAATGTGCTTTATGGTTCTTCTTGGCAGTATTTAAAATTCCTGTCTATCAGGTTCTGAGATAATGGTAAACATCCAGCACATTCAAGGACCAGAAAGACAACAGCGAAAATGGATATCTAAAATGATGCTGCCTTTAATAAAGTGTAAGAACAGAACATACAAGCACCACTCAAAGTGAAAGTGAGTACTGTGTTTAGAGTATTCCCTGCATATTCTATCCTACGAAATGTCAGGCAGTTTAGCACTCTAGAAATGCAAAAACACCCTTGTGTACAAGTGTATTGGATGGGAATATAAGAGAAAAAAAAAAAAAAAAACACTTAAAATCGGGCTAAACAATAAAAGGAAATGTAAGGCAATGAAAAAATACTCACTGTATTGCTGCAGTTTCTCTGTGTATTCTGATTCAGGATCATTCCTTTGTTTCCTGCTGCAAAAATACATACATCATCAATACAGTAAACAGCCACATTTCTGTAAAATGGCCCTAAGAATAACACATTGACAACTATTTCATCACTATTACACACTGGTTTTCTGGTTGTCCCAATCATCTTTACAAATGTGTCACTCACCTGAAACAAACAATTACAATGACAACCACTGCAATTATGAATATCAATCCGGCAGTAACAGAGCCAACGACCATTGGGACCTGCTCCTGCAGACTGCTCCGGTCACCTGCAGGGGTAGATTAGGGAGAAAGGAGGAGGGAAGGTGAGGGATCAGTGGGCACAGGAAAAACTGGGAGTGAGGAATCAGCAGGCATAGGAGAACTGGTGTGAGGAATCAGCAGGGCAAAGGATTCATTGGGATTGAAGAACCAATAAAGTTTGAGGTACTGATAAAGTGAAAGCAAGTGAACGGTCACGGCCACTGCACAGGTACACGGCAAGAAAGGTTGTGGGGGTATATACACAGAAAGAAAGAGGTGTAGAAATATAAGACGGGTGGGTCAGTGTTAACAAAAAAATAATCACTTGAAATGTGGTTGTTATAGTTGTTAAAGGTTTAAGACATTACAAAAAATACACAGACTGCAGTAATCATTGCAGAAGAGGTTGATACAAATATTCAGTAAAGACTGTTACAGGGTGTCTATAGATTCATTTGGTGAATGGCATTCGGGACAGGGTCAGTGGACAAATAAGCATTGTGGAGTTTTGAAGCAAGAGAGGAGGTTAGAAAGAAAATTAGTAGAAGATTAGAGAGTAGATGGGAATGCAGGCTTGTCGGGTATGAATACAGTAGAAGGTGGTGTGAGAAATGCACACTACAAGAGGATTTTGCGTAACAGATTGCTTCTTAGTGACATGTTGATGGGATTTGTGACTATGAAGTGTGAAAAGATCAGTAATAAATACATCCATGTATCAGAATATTACAAAGAGGAGTTGAAGTAAAATTAATGAAAAGCAGAGAATGCAGATTCTTAAATCAGTTTAAATTCATATGAAATGCAAATGGCATTTAGAAGTGACCGGACACAAACAAATTTGTAGTGTGAATAAGTGGAAAAATATGGGTCAACTGTTCAGAAATTCTAGATCCGATTTCAACTAGGACATCCAATTTTATTCAGATTCTCATAAAACCCAGAAGCAATGTAGAAACAAGTAAGTGGGGGTAGGCATTTCCCTGTAACATTAATTGGCAGGGCAAGAGGCAGAAGTTCAGAGGTGGCACAGGAAGGGCATACAAGGGTACAGACAAGAAACCAGTGACTCAAAATAATTGGGATGTTGGGGGGGTTGGGAGGAGGAGAATGAAAGAGCTTGGAAGCAATTAATCTGCACTTAGTGAGAGACCCATGGGAATAGAGAAGAGTATGGTTCCCAATCAATGACCAAAAGGAAGGAATGTGATAAAAGATCAAAGCCCCAAGTTGGTAATTAAAGTTAGGTGGCCTTGGGAAGGCGTGTGCATGAAAGCAATTAATGTGTTCACTCACCATCCTCTGCTGTGGTCTGGAACTCCCGTGGATCGCTGTATGCACCGTACCCAGCCACTGTACGAGCCCGAACCTGGACCACATATATGGTGTCTGGGTGCATCCCCTCCATCCGTAGCGTTGTTCTTTGACTGGTTACAGTGTTACCTGCACCACTGTGACCCTAAGAGTAAAATAAAAATTAATAAATACAAATCTTAAGTGAATAAAACATGCATATTTACAGCATGAAGGGGAACTGAACAGAGCGAGTGAGACTACAGATTTTTTTTTAGATTGTAAAAAGCACACATCTGACTATTTAAAAAGAACAAAAGCTTTAAATTGTGACTGAATAAAATTCAGTTCCAATAAAAAAATCTTCAGATGGGGTGGGGGGGAATACATGGGATGCTTGACAAAAGCAGAGGTTTAAGATAAGAACTGGGTCAGGCTACATCATGGTTCTGAGAAGAAGCCCTGTGTGTGCAATATGAGAAGCAGGAGAGTGGGAGAGCTGAAATTGATAAGGAGAAGCTGTGGAGTAGAAAAGCAAGACTGGGGGGAGGGAATAAATGAAAGTGAATAGCAGCTGGAAAAGGAAAGTTACTATGGAAAGACGAATAAACAGATAGAGAAAAAGAAACAACACAAGGAAGAATGTGATAGAAGACATAAGAGACCAAGAAGCAGAAGGAGAATGTTCGTACAGGAATGTTGAGAGGGAAACAGGAAAAAAGAAAATGGAAATTAAGTGCTCACTTTGGCAAAATATTTTATCTCATAATCCAGAATGATACCGTTGGGACTCTCAGGAGGAGACCAAGATAGAGTAAGAGAACTTGCTGTACTGCCGTGAATTAGCACATTCGGCACTGCTGAAGGAGCTAAAGAGAAGAAAGAAAAAAAAAAAAGAGAAAGAAAACAAAAGAAAATAAAAACAAGTTAATCACCTCCTGTTCACTTCTTGGCAGATTCCTCTTACTGTTTGTCCTCAGCCTACTTGCAACCCAGCTGTCTTTATTTTTTTTCCCCAACCCTTATTGCTATTCTTGTACTGTTCTCATTTATCTGGCTACTGCTAACAAGAATACAAACATTTCATTCTTAAATTTTTTTTTAAACTTACCTGCTTGATTGGTTGTTATATTGACGGAGTAGTAATTTGGTGGGTGTGGGTGCTTGTTGGACACTCCATTGACAGCCTGAATCTCAAAGCTGTATTTGGTATGAGCCTGTAGATGACTGACAGAGACACGGCGCTGAGTGACTCCAAGTTGCCGAGGCCAAAACTGAACATTATCGTCACAGCGAGAGCAAATCTTCTCAGTGCACTTTTTACAGATAACATTAAACAAAACGTCTTCCCGACCACCGGAATCACCAGGCTCTGACCACTCCAGGACCACAGACGTCTCATTCACATTAGAAATGACATTACGTGGTGCAGAAGGCACAGCTGAAATAGAGGAATTAAGCAGTTGAAGGAGATTGACATTCTCATGTCACATTCTTTTCTCTTGTAGTCCAGACACACACACACCCTGATCACTTTCTCATGTAGATGAGGTTGACAGAAAGGAATCTTATAAAGCGGAGACTAAGTGTTACAGTTTAGAGTTCTACACTAAAGGGAGTAGTGAAGGGGGGAAAATAAAATTTAAAAATAAAAAACTAGATTTCTCAAAATGTAGACATAAGCATCTAAAAATCTTGCTAACACAACATCGATAAATTCTGAAGAGTCCTAGGCTATACCTTTACAGTGCCATCCGTAGGCCTAACTATATCTCATAAGGATAGCTTTCTTTTCACAACATATTTGTTCGGTTTGAAATAAATATATTACATGCTTTACAAAGCTATATTTTCTCATGGCAATATACCTTAAAATAGAAAATAGGTTGCATCTATGAGAAATGAATGACAATTCTTTGCTCTGGATTACAAAGCATTAACTAAATTTATGCAGATGGTTGTTTCAAACACCAAATAGTCTAGTAAAAATATTAAAGACTGCATGGCCAATTACTTTTACTCAAACACTGTCATGGGAATCATAAGAGTCCTATTTCGTAACGCTACTAACTTTATCTATACTCTGTGCTAGCCCACTGGCCTGCAAGAATAAGAATGAATGATTCATTAACAATACAGTGCCAATCTCCTTGGCTCAAGAAATATTACATTCATGTTCAGATGGAATCTAAGAAGATTCATACATGACTTGACAAGACAAGAAAGTAGTTTAATCTATACATTTGCAGGTGATATTGCCAGCAGAGCTCAGCAGATTGATCATGGGTAGACACTAAATCAGATGACCATCTACATATTTTGTGTTTGAAAGAGTCTTTAAAGCTTCATCCACAGTTCTATGTATCACTTATGTTTTGGAAAAACACATTTTCAGCCATTTGAACCCAACCCCATCGTACATGTGCATGCCATTTCAGGAGTTTCTCCATCAGCTCTATAGTATCCATTCTGGCAAGGACAGACTGTGACAGCGGTTGAAGTTGATCTGCTGTTCTTGGGGCACAGGATGCAAATCCCATCACCTTGCTTTGGCTTGTACGTTCCACGTGGACAAGCTGGAGAGAAATTAAACAGTAGAAAAAAAACAAAAAAAAACTTTTAGTTAAATAAAAATTAAAAGGACAGGCAAGAACAATTGGTGCCGTAACAAAGGCAGCTCTGGGTGGAGGGTTGGTTTGCTTGGCACAGAAATAATTCAATAAGTATAATGAACATAGGTGACCTCACTCTATGTAGTTATCTTAACACTACATCTCCTGCCTGCTTTATTAATGTACATAAGCAAGGTTCTATCAATTTATCCCAAAAATTAGTACCTTTGCATTGTGTGTCCTTTCCGGCGGCTTCATAACCCGCTGCACAGGTGCATGCACCTACAGGCACCATCCATTCCCCATCTCCATTACAATACAGCTTGAGAGGTACAGAAACTTCCACGGCATTAGGAACACAGGTACCAGGTGCAATTACCAGGGAGGTGGGTTCAGCTCCAGTCAGAGTTTCAGGGAAACTGGCAAAGCCAGCCACGGTCCGAGGGCATTTCTTGTAAAACGCACGTACAGAAATGAGAGATACACAAGCACCAAGATCCTGGAACGCAAGATAAAATCCAGCTCGGGATAGAGGCCCAAAGCTACGGACCTTTGTATTAACTCTGCCAGAGTCACGGCGTGAGAAGCTCTCATCTGGTGCAATAGTGTCCACCTTAATGTATGGATTCTCCATCCAGAAGGGGGTATCAGAGTCTGAGTCAGACTCATAGTAAAATAGGTTAAAGGTTTCTTTGCATGATCCTGGAATGTTGGGAAGGCTGTTACAGTCTCGCACTGTGAATTTCAATTCCACATAGACACGCTGGACATCCTGACGTGGTATGAACTCGGTACGTAACCAGTTATTTTGATTGAGCTGCTGTACATTGCACACTTGATAGGTCCTTATTGGATTTGATCCTTCGTCATAGCCACTAACTTCCTCCCACTTTACAAAAGAAGAGAAAGTGTCAGAAGCAGAGGTAATGATAAATAAGAACAATAAATGTTAAAAAATTCAAGGAGTGATAATGCATGGGGTGAAAGATCATGGAATGGAAGAGCAATATGTAAAGTATGGAACATTAAGGAATACAGAGCTGATAGAACACAGTCAATAGCTAGAATGTGATAAGACCAATGGTTGAAAGTGAGAAATATGAGCAATATGTTAAGAAAAGTAAATGACTTGGGGTATGCATGACTTACAGGGGAAAGAGGAAAAGCGCAGAACAGATGGTGTTAAAGCAGAAATTGTGTGATGGTTGTGACACAATGAAACAGGAATGAACAAAGAATCAAGCACTCGCAAACACAAAACAAATGAAAATGGTGAATGACATGAGCAGAAGAGAAAGGCTAATCGAGAAACAGTGAGGGGAAGAATTAGGAGGAAGGTCACACAACAAGTTGGTTCATGTAAAGACAGTGACAGTCAAAACAGAAAGGAAATGAAGAGGGTAATAAATAGAATTATTAGTGATCGAAGAAAGAAGAGTATGGCCTGAGGCAAAGTAGAGGACTAATAATGACAAAGTAAGGAATGGAGGGAATGGACTAAAAAGCAGGGAGGATGTACAGAACGAATGGTGGGAGGCTGATTGTATGTTAGAAATAATGTCAGAGAAATCTAGATCGTGGACTGATGTAACCATTCTAAAGCCCAGTGCAATGGAAAGCATGGAGGTTTTGACAATTATCTTACCCCAGAGTCTGGGTGTGCTACCCATGCCAGCTCCGATGTGGTCAAGCGAGTATCCATAAGAGTCTCTATATGGGGGAAAAGAAAAATAAATAATGTAAAGCTCACAAAAACACAGCCCATGAGCCCACAATACCACAAGCTTAAAACAAATCCTCTAGATTAAAAGTATTAATGAGATCACTCCTGCAATGCCATAAAAACTTGAAAAGCAAATCTAGACTGACTGCACAGTAGAATCTATTGGCCTATCAAAAATAACTCGGTATTTCAAATACTCTTTCTTCCTTTACGGCTTCTACTGTGATTTCAAACTTCAATAGACCTTTCAAATTATCGTGCACACCCCTGAATCAATCTCAAGTCCCTGATACACAAACAACTTACTAATTAGTCTACAATTAAATTTAACAACATTGGTCCAAGCCATGCATGAAAAGGCAGATACACATGGCCCATGACCACCATAAGCTTATTCAGGCTTCAACACGACCATAAAAACAGCCAGTTCAGTAGAATAGCATGTGAGGCCCTAAGAAATGCTTTGCCAGACAGTTTGCTATGGAGATTAACCAAATTCCGCAGACACACTTTGTTTTCAAAATAATGCAGCTCTGCAACATTTAGAAGAAGCAGAGATTATACAATCAGTGCCTTTTCTCCTCAACACTTTGGGCATCTGAAAGGAGACAACACCCTAGGAATTTCACTTTGTTAAGGTAGGGGGTTGACCAATCTTTGCAGAATTTAGGAATCAGATACACATACAGAGCACATTTAAAAATAAAAATGAATCCATAAAATTGTCACAGACAGCAATAACAATAGGACATAACATAGGGAAGGGATAGGCAACCTTCGGCACTCCAGATGTTGTGGACTACATCCCCCATAATGCTCTTACAACCCATAATTCGATTAAAGAATCATGGGAGGTGTAGTCCAAAACCTCTTGAGTGCCGTAGGTTGCCTATGCCAGACATAAGGTATGGGGGTACCATACTCTTCACAACAACTCTTTAGAAATCAAAATGTATGTAAAAAAAAAAAATGCAAAAAAAAAAAAAAAAAAGACAAAATACATATTTTATTATTTATATAGCACCAGCAAATTCCATAGCGTTGTACAATGGGTGGACTAACAGACACAATTGTAACCAGACAAATGGACGCACAGGAACAAAGGTCGACAAGTTAATGGTCCAGTGTTTGGATTTTTGAGAGGTATGCTAAAGTTGTAGCATTTGATTATATATACACAGGTTTACTCAAGAACCACCAAGTGTGAGACTGTTAGTTAGATTAATGTAATTATTACCAATACTTCCTTAGTCAGTTTCCTTACCCTAAACCCGCCATCTTGAATGCATTAACATTAAGCACCTTACTGTAATTTTGGTAGCTTTGGACTCTTAACTCACACTGTGTATAGGTCAATGGTTTAAATAAGACAGACCACCTGTCGGTATATGCAAAACAAATGCATCAGTGCTTAGTAAATTCCCATCTCTATCTACCAGATATTATAAAAAGCAAAAGGAAAAAACCCTGATTTGGGAAATGATGGATCTTGGCTTGAAAGAGTAGGGCGGGAGAAGGATCTTGAGCCCACAGCAACTTCAAGTATTCAAGAATACTTTGCTTCCAGCAGGCAACAATTTACACAGAAAGGAGCAAAGCCACTGCCAACAGCATCAATTTAGGTGAATGATTACAGTTTTGTTTAATATTACTGTATTTTGTTTCACAATAATTCCTTTTTAAGCAAGCAGATAGGAGAGGAGAATTCCGGAGAATAGAAAAGGAGAGAGTTCTCGGCTCAGAGCAATTATCCGGTTTATATTACAACATTTCCATAAGCAAACAGTGGTCACATGGTTAGGACATCACCACCTCCATATGCAAGAGGAAGAGAGGGGTAAAAGCAGATTTATACGGATCACTTATAACCAAACAATCCTTGCGCATTGTCTGGAAATACTCTTTAAAAAAAAAAAAAAAAATATATGTTTGTGTGTTTTGGAAGTGTGATATTTTCTAGGTTTGTGTGTAGCAATGTAAAGCTGCATACAAAAAAAGTGTTTCTAATATTTCCACATGTGCAAGCACAAAAACAATCACCTGCGCTGGTATGAAAAAAACAAAAAAAAACATTTTACTACTTCAGTAACTTTATTAAGGGTCAAACTCAAAAACTTGTTTTCTGATCATATAGTTATCCTAGTGCAGTGTATTCATTGTAAGGAAACTGCATTTTAAAATCTTACAGAAAACACTTTCTAAAATAATTCATGGCTTATACAACTGAACATCAATATCAGAGTGTACCAGGAGCACAGACATGTAAAATAAATTTTCGAGTAAACACTTTGGTCTATATTTTGGATTTCAATAGCACATAGCACAAAATTAAGAAGACCAAAACCAACAACTTTCATTTATCTGCAACCTCCATAACATTTGGGCAATATGCATTTATTTTGGGCACCATAACAACTTTATCTCATCGATTATAGTGCTGGGGTATCCAGGATTCTGAGTTTGTGAAGACTGTATTATCCCCTGCCCAGACATCCAGTGATGTCTGAGGTTTCAGAGAGTAAACGTAGGATTGGATAGTTAATAGACCGAACATAAAACTATGCTTCCAGCTCCTCACTACCTTCCCATTCACAAAACTGTGGGAGAAATATACAAACCCCTTAAAGGACCACTATAGTGCCAGGAAAACATACTCGTTTTCCTGGCACTATAGTGCCCTGAGGGTGCCCCCACCCTCAGGGACCGCCTCCCGCCCGGCTCTGGAAGGGGGAATGGGGTAAAAACTTACCTTTTTCCAGCGCTGGGCGGAGAGCTCTCCTCCTTCTCTCCTCCTCCGTTCCGCCCCGTCAGCTGAATGCGCACGCGCGGCAAGAGCTGCGCGCGCATTCAGCCGGTCGCATAGGAAAGCATTTACAATGCTTTCCAATGGACGCTTGCGTGCTCTCACTGTGAAAATCACAGTGAGAAGCACGCAAGCGCCTCTAGTGGCTGTCAATGAGACAGCCACTAGAGGATTAGGGGGAAGGCTTAACCCATTAATAAACATAGCAGTTTCTCTGAAACTGATATGTTTATAAAAGAATGGGTTAACCCTAGAAGGACCTGGCACCCAGACCACATCATTAAGCTGAAGTGGTCTGGGTGCCTAGAGTGGTCCTTTAAGGGAAGATGAGATTTAAGTTGTTATGGTGTCCAGAGATTTTCTTTACAGGGGAGCCGTCACTCTAGAATTTATACCATTGAAAATTACGTGAGTTAACCTTTTTGCATGAGAAGCCAAATCTTCCTTTTAACTACCACTAAAGGAAAAAAATAAAAAATAAAAAAATAAATATATATATATATTTCAGAAAGGCCCAAGCCAGGGAGAAGCCCAGGCCATGAAGAGAGGAGAAATAGAAACATTGCCCCATTTTTAGTACTTCGACCACAACACTCTGATAAATCTCTATTTCTAGTCTTCTCAGTGCGATTTCTCTATGCCGACTAACAGGTACAAAGGACAGACCTCATAACGCTTGACAGGGAGCCAAGATGGAGGACCCCTGTTGCAGGATAAGGATGTGTGTATTTCTAAATTAAATATTTTTTTTTTTATTTCAGACCTCACAAATACATATTTGTTAAATATAGGTAAAGATATATTAAACATCTTGCAAAGTGCTCTGTCTCCTTTAAACTAGAGAATGTCTTAAGTAAACCATTTTCCAAAATATTCACTCACCCAAAAACTCTCACTAAGCCAAAGCAACCCAATAATATTTTTCATAGACTGAGTACACCAACAAACCTCCGTCTCTCTTTTTGTAGACATTGGCTTTGGCAGATGAGAAGCAAACACTGGGAAGCCACCTGAGTGTTGTGATTATCATATATTTATTAATAAAATAAAAAAAAGTGTCAACATTTTCAACAAAGCAATACATTGGTTAAACAAAGAACACCGGTAAATGATGACAAACACATGTAGGCATAGGGGAAAAAGAAATGCAAAGGCTTCTCAAAGTACGCTTATATTCTAAAAAGGAATCTATGACTGTCTCGCACAGTGATCCACGCAGAAATGTCACAGACGACTGGCTGTTGCTGAACTGCCTCGCTCCTTAGGCAGTCAACATTTAACTGGCAAGTTTAAACACATATTGTGCCAAGACTGCCAGCCTCTCTTTGGCAACAGATTTCTGCAATGGTCCTAACAAATCACCCATCAACGGTGGAAAGATTTTAGTCTGGCAACCTTGCTTTAGAAGATATTCTGTATACATTTGTACTGATTGTTCTGTGAAATGCAGCAAGAAATTATTTGCAAGCAGTATAATTTTCAACCTAAGTGACTTGGAAGTAACACATGTGTCTACTGGCACACAATTATCCAGAAACATTTTGTTTTGCCAGAATGGTGCCAAGAGCAACAGCTGACAAAAGCATAGCATGCCACAGTCCTAAATTATTTGCATTTAAAATAAAATATATATACGAACACAGACATACACCAAGACAAAAAGCATCCCAACATTGAATGGACCACCATACAAAATCTGATCTTCCTCACCTTTCATAAAGGGTTGATAAAAATATAGCCGGGTCTATAAACCGAGGGGAATAACAATGCCATATTCGATATTAATCGACATGTTAACATGACTGACGATGAACCAAAAAAAGTCAGTGATCTCAGAAAGGACAATTCCACGAAAAATTTAAATTTGTGTGTGCCCCGCCGGAGCCACATTTCTGTATTTTGTAATTTAGGCTAGTGTTAGGTCACATGATGTAGCCTCCACAAGCAGAGAACAAACTTGTATAATCACTGTATTAGAAACAGATTGTGAAAGCAGATAAGAACCAACTGGCCCTTCTAGTCTGCCCATAATGAAATCTGATTTTACGGTGTTTGTTCATCGGGATAGTCACAAGCACATTCAAAGCATTCTTTAAAAACCACTGAACATTTTTTTTTTTTTTTAAACTTTCTAAATTTTTGCTTGCTTAATAGATCCACTTTACACCACTTCAGCAGAAGTTTTATTTTATCTTTGATGCAAAAGTTAAAATAACTTGAAGGGCACTTTAAATTCCTTCACTATTTTAACATGACCAATTCTTGGGTAAAGCTGGAATAGCTTTCCATTAGAACAAATGCAAATAGCATTAGGATAAAGTGGCATTTGTTTTAAGGGCATTCCCATCTTTTGCACCAGTGAAACAAAGGCTGGCCTGGTCAGCAGATAGAGGTTACATGTTGCTGAATTAATACTCATTTTACATGCAGAAAATATAGGAAACCTTACAAAAGTCTTCATCACTTATGAGGTCTCTTAAGATAAATACATCTGCCAACTGGCTGGGTTCATCTATACTGTAAGTGCATCTCAAATAGACAACTCTCAGACCTGAAAATAAATAAATAAAAATTTTTTTTTTTAAAAGGGTTCCTTAAACCTTTATTGTGTTGGCATTTACCACTTTTACTGAAAAGATATTCTAAGGTCTACCAAAACTTTCAATCAATTAATTATATCACGCCTCAGTAGATTGGCAGCAGATGTGAATGCATACGATTAAGTAATATACACATCTGGTGTCAGGCACTGTACTCAAGTAGAATTTGTTTATTTTCTTCCCCTATCCCCCCCCCCCAAAAGGCACAGATCTATGCACTGTATTATAGTGCTACAGTAGTGTGTCTTATGTTTTCTGTGTTTTTGCAGCACTATGGGAGTATAAATTAATTATATACACTAGAACATCTAATTTTGGGGGTGTGCACTTTTATTCGAATTAACATGGCTTATAGAAGCACATAATTGCATGCAATTTAGCTCTCTTTCAATAGTGTGCATGTTATTTTCACATTGTTAAAGAAACACTGAATTTTTTATTCCACCAATTTTGCTCGCATTGTGCCTCTCTTGTACGTTAGAATTCCTTAAAATGCTCATTTATAAAGCGCTGCTAAATAAGTTGACGCTATATAAATGCTGATGATAGTGTCAAACGGACTGGAGAATTAAAAAATAAATAAATAGTGTAAGAATATATTTTTTTATTATTATTATTTATTTCAAGTCTGATCAACAAATTTACACAGGAAAGACAACCTTATGAAGAGTTCATTTTGATAAATTCAGGGCACAGCCATAGTAAAGGCATGGATATTTTAGAGATGGCAATACAATCTGCAACTTCTTAAGTTTAGGATTACACAAAATTGCCACAGATAAAGTGATCTGTACCCATAAAATCTGGGCTGCTATTGGACATTTTGAAACCCCTTGCCATATGAGGTAGTAAGCCTTCAGCTCACCTCAACTTCTACAGTGCATTGGGAGAAGGTTCTATGACATCACATGTGTCTATGTGGCGTCATGGTAAGAGGCCCACTCAGTAGGAGAAATGGCCTGATCAGAGTACTGCCTGTACTTTTTTAGTAAACCTGGAACTAGTATTCTCTGGTAGTTATATAAATCATTTAGCATGGGGATATTAAGGTTATAAAACACTGTATATTAACTTACTGAATTAATAAACACACAACTATCAAAAGTAACAAAAGTACAATTAAGAAAAGACTACCAACGTGTATAAAATAAGTCCTTTTAAATTTGTCATTGATTGAAATCCACTAATAACCTGTTCTTGAAAAGCTTTATGCAGCTGTTACATTTCTGCTATGGTGACTGACCGATTATCCTATGTAAACCTGCATAATAAACATAATTTATCATAACAGATTATACGCACTTGCTTTAGGACACATTGTGTCCACTATCATACAGGGTATGTGGGTGTTACAAGAATTCAGCACCCACCATCCACTCCTACCTATACCCATTATCTATCACTCCATGTTTTTTCACTCCTCAGGTAAAGTGAAAGAGACTCGCTAGAGGAGTAAGCACAGCGCATTAAAGGAGCACTATAGGGTTAGGAACACAAACATGTATTCCTGACTCTATAGTGTTAAAACCACTATTGCGCGTGCCCCCCCCCCCCAAAGTTAGTAAAATCTTACTTGTAAGCTGCTGTCTCTGCCTGTGAACATCCTCTGACCTCATTAGAAATGGTGGCCTGATCCAATCACAATGCTTCCACATAGGATTGGCTGAGACAGACAAAGAGGCAGATCAGGAGCAGAGCCAGCATGATTCAAACACAGCCTGGCCAATCAGCATCTCCTCAGAGATTGAGTCAATTAATCTTTATGAGGAAAGTTCAGTGTCTGCATGCAGAGGGAGGAGACACTGAATGTTTGGATGCATTTTAGGCAGCCATCACCCAGGAAGGATCTCTAACAGCCATCTGGGGAGTGGCCAGTGAAGTTATCACTAGGCTGTAATGTAAACACTGCATTTTCTCTGAAAAGACCGTATTTACAGCAAAAAGCCTGAAGGTAATGATTCTACTCACCAGAACAAATTCAATAAGCTATAGTTGTTCTGGTGACTAGAGTGTCCCTTTAATGGTAGTTGCTGCGAGAATTTGTAAGAGGCTTCTGTCCTTAAAAGGAGAATTAAGTTGTCAAACTGCGGCCCCCAGATGTTGCTGAAGTACAACTCCCGTGATTCTCTGGCTATCTATGCAATTCAAAGAATCATGGGAGTTGTAGTTCAGCAACATCTGGGGGGGGGGGTGGGGGGTGGGGCGGAGTTTGAGGACCCCTGATTTAACCCCTAAGTCGCCTCCACTACACCCCTGGTGGCATCCGCCTTCTGAATTTTTACATACAGGAAACGCAGAGTGCTGACGGGCAGGGGAGCTGATGATTGGCTGAGAGCGGTCTGCTTACGCTTGAGAAAGCTACACGTTTATATACCATAAATACATTGCTTTCCATGTATGTAGCTTTTCTCCACGGCCTATTATTCATAAAGTGACAACATATTCCTCAATAGCAAAAACAAGCTTACTCATCTAGTGAGTGTCTAGAAGCACAAAGGCTGTGCCTCTACAGTACGCAATGTATTTTTAGCAGTTACATAGATTTTGAAGAATACATTATGCTTTTTTCAACCAAGAGTCAAAGAGGCCCCACGGAAAATTGCAGGGTTACCCAGTTTCGGATTCCAATTCAGGGGTTAAGAACGGAACAAACGTGTTTATATACCAATACATTTTGCTCTCACTAGACACTGTACAGACAGGATTTTCACTCTGACCAATGCCCATTTTATTTGCAACATCTTATCAAGAAAGCCACATTTAAAACCCTTTTTATAAAAACAAGCTGCATTCTTATTCCAGAAACAAAAAAAAAAAAACACGACAAAACACTAATATGATGCTCTGACTGAAATGGCATTGAAATAGGTCATCTATGGGTTACTTTACAAGTTTGATTCAGTTTCCGAAATGCCATTGGCTTCCCAGCCGATAGGACACAATACCTGTTCTCCTTACTTGGCTTTGAAACATTCTGTCTGACTCTTGTATTTTACACACATTTTTGTTCACTGATGTTTACTTTGTAACTACAGAGTAAGTTCTCAAATGACTGCCTTAATTCCTCAGCAAGGCATAACATGCACAAAAGGCTCAATTCACAGATTTAAAATCCTTCACTCTGCATCAAGTTCTTGAGATCCTCTTGATGTTCTGCACACCTATTCCACTGCGAGGATCTCTCATGAAGTTCATTAACAGACCCTGCTTAATGCTCTTAAGAACATGAAGAGTGACGTGTACAGAAATTAATCTCTTGGGAAGGTGGCGGGTTGAGTATCTCAAAATAAAATTGGTAGTTTCAGAGGAAAGCAAGGTATTGATTTCTTCAGGCATTACGTAAACTAGGACACTTGAAAAGGAGACAGACCCAAAAAAAAAAAAAAAAGCCTTCATAAAAAATGACTTGTCAGTGCATGCATGATATTACCCATTCACTGTCACGGTGGGGGTTAAACCCATATAGCATTCATTCAAAATTTATTGAATACGTAAAACTGTGTTAGAGATAAGTAGGAAAAATGCTGAATAGCTTGAAAAATAGATCATCTGTCTCTAAGAACAGAATATCTACCAACATGCAATAAAACCTCCTATACCTAATTGGCTGCTCTTTTTCAGCATTTCAAAAAGCTTTGTAACAGTTATCTAGTGCAGAACCAGGATAACGAGTTCCATAGCAAACTGGCTGACATTTCAGAATCCACCTTCAAAATTTCTGAAAAACGATTTTCAAACTCAAGAAGGGAAAAAAAAATCCAAAAGATGTAAGCATCAGATATATTGCTTTCCTTTGTGGGATGCACCCACTGCAGCCAAATTATAGTAAAGGAGTAGTTAAATACTTGAAAACACCAAGCAATTTAAGCCCCGATAACCTTTTTAGCTGACAAAATGCATTGCAATACTTTTTTTTTTTTTTTTTTAAATCTAGATTTGCAATTGTGCTTTTATACACAGATTTCATTAAGGCATCCAGATCACTTCAGCTTATTGAAACGGTCTGGGTGCAGTACACTGGTCCCCCTAAACCTGCAATGTCAAATATTGCATTTTTAGAGAAACACATTTGTAGTTTTAGGTTACTAGACAAGCTATACAAGACTACAAATATAAAAGTTGCTTGTATGTGAGAATGTATGTATATATATATATATATATATATATATATATATATATATATATATATATATATATATATATATATATATATATATATATATATATATATCTTTCTCTGGCTTATGCAATGTATGATCATATAATATAACTAAACCCCCATTATTTTTGCCTAGATTAGGTGTTAAAAAAAAAAAAATTAAAAAAACCACACCTAATAAAATCTGTCAGTTGCTGTTAGCGAATAGATCTTGTGAAAAAAATTATATATATATATATATATATATATATATATATATATATATATATATATATATATATATATATATATATATATATATATATATATATATATATATATATCTATATCTCAATGTTTCAGAAATAAATAAAAGCAAAGTTTCATTTTTGAATGAAGTCCTGGGAATGTCATCTTGTTATATTTTTCTATATTTTTGCTGACAAGCACAGGGCAAGTATGGTATGATGCGAGGAGTACAGTACTATTTAAAAAGAAAGTGGTAAAAAAAAAATTTTTTAACAGTAAGAAGATTCTACATCTACGTACTCTTTTTTTTTTTTCTTTTTTTTTTTTTTCCCCACTGTCTTTTTAAATAGTCCTGCACTCCTTGCATCATACCTTAGTTGCCCGGTGCTGGTCAGCAATAATATAGAAAAATATAAAAAGATTCAGTTGTGGAATGCAATACTTTATGACTTTGTTAAATTCCTTGTCCACCCCCAAAATCTTGTATCTGGATACAAATATGAATAGGATATAAATAGAAATGGCACAGAACTTTTTTTTTCCTCCTTCTTTCTTCCAAAAATACTAGACAGTCCCTAGCTCATCGAGAGCTTTTGCCGGTGACCTAAAGACCTCTCTCATCAACAATGTCCCTGTGACAGCTTGCGCCTTGTGCAACATGGTGGTAGCTGTTCTTGTCACTACTGGTGGCAAAGAAGCAACTTATCAAGTTTTTTAATGTCATTAACATGAATGACACAGTGACCTATACTGTGGTTACGGCCATCAGCATGACACCAGCGAGCTTACAGCACAAGCCTGAGACATATACTTAGATTCCACTGTGACCTTGAGGTACAAGAGGTCAATTTAAGCTTGTAAGGGCATTCTGGCAATAGCGTGACCATTTTATTCTTCTCCTTCATTATTTGTTTCCGGTTACACACAGCAACCTATTATTTAACATATATGGACATCTGTCCTGTGTACATTAATGTTCAATTAACTTTGATTAGGCATGTGACATGCAGGGATTTTATGTAAAGAGAAATCTAATCCTTAAAGATTACAGGATAGAAAAACCATGGAATTTCAGGGTTCATAAAACTCTTGAGACAAGAAGGGAAACTTTGTGATATTTATACCATAACAATGCTGCTTGTGTCAGACATTTTAGATTCAGATCAACTGGTGTTCATCTTGCAAAATATTTAACTATATATGTAGTGACAAACACTACTCAAATAAATGCAACATTCCTACTGATAATTACACTTTAATAACGTAGCTCCAGACTTAAGATTAAGGAATTCTATAAAGAGGCAACATTTTCTGCAGTAATTTACAATTATAGTATGGGAATACCTGACAACAGAATAATGATATAGACAAGAGGTAAAAAATGCTTAGATGTGTTCACAATAAATACAAAATACTAGAACCAGCTTTTCTACATGTGTAGTACACACACACACACACACAAAAAAAAAAAAGTGAGTGCAATATGTGTGTCACACGAAAAGAAAACCATTCATTAAAAATAAATAAAAATTGGTGGAGAGACGGTATTTACAATAATCTGTAATACTTCTTTTGGGAGCTCCAACCTCTGATATCTGAACGATTTGTTTATTTTAAAAAGGATTCTGTCAGTGATAAAGTAAAACAATTACCTCTTTTCCTGCTGCACATACCTCTTGGTATAGAGGCCCAGCATGTTACTGGCTTTCTTCTCTATTTGGCTACAATACTTGCCAATCTTTATGTCATTATGAAATAATGATTCCCAGGTTCTTGGAGCTTACATTAGTTGTCCAAAGAATCATTTAGTCAGGGTTTTGTCCATTTGTGACCAACGTGCATCACTGCATGAGAACGTTATTGCCACACAGACACAGTCAAAAGACACACAACAGGAAAATAGTCACTTTTACCTGGTCTAATTATGTACTCCGAGCCTCCACCCAAGAGCTTATTAGCAGAATCCTATCTTTCATGTGCCGTAATCATGCAAGGCACTAAATACATGGTTGGCATCATACAGGTAAAATTATACTCTGGCATATTGCGACACAGACACCAACACTCTGTACCATGAGACTTTTCCCCCCCCCCCTGTTTGCAACATAAGGTTTCACTGTAATTTCTAACCCTGGCTTAGTTTCAAGTTGGACACATTTTTCTCATTAAAAGAGGGGAAAGAGAGGGGGCGGGGAAGAATAAAGAGAAAGGCCTGGACTTAGTGGAGATTGCTGTGTAAAACAGGGTAAGCTAATCCTAACACACCCCCACCATCAGACAGCCCCAGGGGGCTTCCCCCTCCCTGCTGGACAGCTTAGAAAGGGCCCCTGCTAGGGGGAGGTGCGTGCACACACACCAATATGTATGTATGTATGTATAAACACACGTGGTACTAGATTACCCACACTGGATGGACTAGTATTGTGGTTCCTGTTGAATGAACATCCGTCATCTATTTCACAGCAATAAGCATGTACGTCGAGTCAACATCACAAGAACGCAGTTCTTTTCACTTTTTTTCTCCTTATGAGAAAACTCTGTACATTCATCCACACAATATGTTCACCATACCATGTTATTACTGAACTGCAGCCGAAAAGAGGTTTCTATACATTAAAAAGCTAGCTAACCAGCGCTGTGATGTTTGTTGGTGCCATATAGGAAAACAACAGAGGGTCTGGTTTCAAAGTTAAGCAGGAGAGTTTGGAAACCTGTAACGGAAAGCTGGCTGTAATAGATCCATGAAAACACAACCAGGAGTAACAAGCTGCTAGATTTGTGAAAAGGCACAGGGCAACCAAAAAAAATTATTTTAATTGCTTTTAAAAAGGGGTAGGTTACTGGGAGGTGGTCATGGAAGTATAAAACGCTGGTTTCCATGCCAATTGCTTTAATTTTGTAGAACTTTGCACACCTTTTCGATGAGACACTTCATAAGCCATGATTGATGTAAAGAGGAGTAGATGAGGTAGGCTGGGCTGAGAGGGAAAATATTGATTTAAACAATATAATTTTGCTTCAAATACCATAATTCTGATGTAATTAAAAACAGAATGTAGCCTCTTGTATTTCCGCAAACAGACCCACATGGCTTAAAGGTAAACCTTACAGGCATTAAACCAGTTTATCAAACACTGTTGTTAGGTTTTAATACACACATACCTATGCCCTAACCAAAGAACAGCCATGCCTACCTCAATATATGTTATATGTGAGCAACACACAAAACAGCTTTCACTGACATTGCAAAATGACGATGTGTTATAGACAAATACCATCAACTTTTCATCCTACAAATCTACCATTTACTGTCCAATGTTTTTAGAGACAGCAGAAGAGACAATATAACACATTTAAGTACTATGCATCTATAATAATGGGGATTACTGAAGATGGTCACCCAAGCAAATAATGAGAGTCTGCGTTACCTCTTTTTTGGAACACAAAGTGGTTTGCAAACATTAGAACAAGTTAGACAATGGTGGATTTATTTCTATTATACTAGCAGAAAACAGTACTTTTTTCTTCTAAACTTTTATACAAAAATATTGATTACAAACTAGTCACCAGTTACAGAAGGAAAGGGTTGGGGAATGAGAGAGTGCCAAAAAATAGGACAGAATGGTACTCCACAAGGACATTAAAAACAGTATTAAAAAAGTGCACATATTGACATTTATATATTGCGCCAAAACATTCCACACCACTTAACATTATAAAAACGGAGACATTTGACAATAAATGAGACAATTACAAAAAGTTACAAGAATAGGTAGATGAGGAACCTGCTCAAACAAACAAATGCTAGAGGACAATGTTCAACTATTCAAAGGTGAATTTAAATCAGGATAAGATTTATATTGGATTATCCCCTCCCCCTCCTTTACACATTGATATGATCATTGTTTAACCCCAACACTCTTTACCCTTTGTCCCACAGGGAAGAAGCCCGCCCCCACCAAAATGTTAATCTAATTAGGGAAATCTACCGAATCCATTAAACAAGTATCAAAAGTCATGGTTTCCTGGCATTTGCACAAAATGTTGGTTAACACAACATTCCAAATATACAATTGTGTGACTTTCCCTTTAAGGGTTTTTTCTCAAGCTATCTGCTCAACAGCTGGCATCTCTCCCCTAATCTTCTTAGTGTTCATGCTATAAGAATGGCTGATGCTCCACAGGAGTACTAGAGAGTGAATAGAAACTAGTTACACCAATCTCCTATGTGTCAGCTACCATTATATATAGCCTATATTAGCTAAGCTCCCACCCAAAGCAACACATCAGTTACCACAAAATCAACTGTATGACAGAAGAATGGTCATTTGACTGCCAAGCATGCCTCGAGTAGGGCATTTAGATAAGATATAGGTTTGACATCCATTAATCTAACTCATTCCCTTCCCTCCCAAGGGAGTAAATTCCCACGAATGTGTTTCTCTATGATGATGAGCAGATTGTGTATTTTATAAATTACACAGATTCATTTCATATGCATGTAGCATTAAATATGAAGTGGGAAGATCATATGTCTGTCAAGATAAGACCAGTCTGTTCAATCAGTGCACTGAGAAAAGTAAACTAAACAACGTGTAATAGTACAGTGCATAACATCTCAAAACCTTGACTATGGTACACCCTTATTTGTTTGGTAGAGATACACAGTATGTTGTCCCCAAAATAACCTGAGTTGTGCCATGGATTTAGCAATCACCGTTTTCAGCTACATGTTTGTGTCGTGAGCTTCTTGCCCCCTTTCATCATAACATGTTCTCTGGGATCTGGGACTACGCAAGTCTTTATTCTAAAGCAAATACAGTATCTGTTTGAAAATGGGCAACAGCAGCCATATGGCGAGGTATATGTTCAGTGACAATATTTATGTGTCAGGGAACTGAAATGATTCTCCGTTACGATTATAAAAACAGGCCCAAAATAATAAAAAATTAAATTAAATTAAAAAAAATATATATATTCCTCACCACTAGAGTTCTATACGGCTGATATTAGACAGATGCATGCAATTTATACCAAATTCTGACTTAATTAACTGTATTTGCTTTACAGGAGTTGTTATGGAGATGCTGGCCCAGTGTTCTAGTGCCACCATTCCCAGAAGTTCCCAAAATAGAAGTCTGCCACTTTCTATGAAGTAAAAATGGCTGCCACTTACAATCAGACAACACCCAATCCTAGGTCTCATCCTCCTTTTATGTATATTACAGCCACACAATCTGTTGTATGGCTAGTTACCTTAACAAGCAGGTGTAGGGTTGTATTTTGTTTACATGGTCGTGGAGCCGATAGTCAGATGGAACTAATGAGAAAAGCTGAATTTACATTTCAGTTGTCATAGTAGTGGTTAAGGATTATATGTGTGACAGGTCAAAGATGCGGACATGTTCAATTTTTGCTATTGTGAAAGAAGAGGTCTATAGATTTTCTACATACCATAGCAAATGAAATTTCGCCCTTAATGTTAACATACAGTGTCCCACAGGCTAGAGGGGAAAGTGGGACAGACATTCAGCACTCCTCAAATGCATCAATTTAATTTTAATAGTGGTTGCACATCACGTAGAAGAAGTAAGTTATGTGCTGGCAAGGTATCAAGAGTCTAAGGCAGCGTTTCCCAACTGTTGCTCCGCAAGAACAAAATTGGGGTTCGGACGTGAATTCTCCCATCCAAGATGGCCGCTGCTCCCTGCTGTTCCATGAAGGTCGGAAACAGATTGCGCAGCCGAGATCGCTACACACATGCATGCATGTCCTGTGTGAGCTCACCCAGCGTCATTTAGGGTAAGAATTCCTCCCAGCCCAGTATTCCTTCATTCCTCTCTCCTCCCAGCATTCATTAATTCTTTTCTCCTCCCTATATTGTTTTACCCCTCTCCCTTAGTGTTAAGCTGCCTTATACTGACTTGGCATATTGATCCAAGTGCAATATCTAATTTATTTTGATAAATGCTCTATGGGGTTCCCTATTCTCACAAGAGCAAGGTGTTTTACTTTTGGTTGAAGTGAGGCGTGCTTGCATAGGGACATATAGTGTTCATGGGAGTAGCTGCAATTTCTTCTAACTACCAAATAATTGCAAGAGTGAAATGAGAGTATCTACATGATTTTGTCAAAATATATTATATATATATATTATATATATATATTTTATTTTTTTATTTTTTTTTATTATAATTTTTCCCTGCGTACTACCAGTAGAAATCTGTGATATACCAAAAATGTCATTCTAAGAACTGTTGACAAAACAGCATCCTTTTGTGAAATTTGTAGTCAAGTGTTCTCTTTACTCCTTGATTGAGCAAAAATCTTGCTTGTGTTCAATTCTTTCTAGGAGCTTTATAAAAAAAAGAATTTTTTTTTAATTTTTTTTAAAAAACAGCATCCTTTGCAGTCAGGTAGTGAGACCTGTTTAAAAAAAAAAAAAAGTGTTCTAATCTTTTTGCTCCAAGGCGGATTCAAAATCCTTCTAACATTAAGTTATTTCTAAGAGCACTATAAAAAAAACAGCATCCATTGCAGTCAGGTAGTGAGATCTGTATTTTTTCAGGTTAGAGAAGTGTTTTTTTTTTTTTTTTTAGCCAATTATGTCATCATTTTGAGCAAAACCACCCAGGGTACAAAGATAAAGACATTGCCTGTAAGCGAAAGCTTCAGGAGTATCATAAGACTAAATAGTTTATGAACAAAATATTTGAAAGTGATGATAAAAAAGGCACTTCTTAAAAGGTTTGTGCTATGTAGCAATTTTTTTTGTCGGGGGTTCCACAAATGTTGGTATACCATGTCAAAGGGTTCCACAGGAAAAATTTATTGGGAACCCCTGGTCTAAAGTATGGTTTATGGATGTTCCAGGACACGTAGGCAAGGGCCTCAGTACTGCTAGCATACTGTACAGACACCAATATAGCACCATTGTAGCTTTCATGGAAAGTAATGCACATCCCGGCATATCCACAAATACTCAATGCAAACCTCTATACATAGAAGCTCACTTACCCTACAGACAAAATAGGCATGGAAATCGAGGCGTATGCTGTGACCCTCCTTTCAAATAGACCCCAGAATAACGCGCTCCAGCCAAGCTGGGAATAAACACAATGTATTGTATACATACATAGGTGGTGGAGCGCAACTTTTTGAAGTGAATAAAAGAGTAGACTTGGAACTTTGTGGCCTCTGTGTGGGAGTAACACACACACACACACACACACACACACACTTAAATAAAAAGGATTACTTTCCCTGCAGACATTGGCAGAGGAACACCTGTGAATACTCATTAGCCAACATACCTAAATGTCAACATGGAAGATTCATTTTTCTGATTTATATCCAAAACCTGACTGCTCAATGAGTGGCTATTAGCATTGAGACCACCTGCTATGGCTAAGAGACATACAGAATGACTGACCCAGCAGGCTTTAGAGAGACAAAATACAGAGCTGCAACGGGAGAGAAAGAAATAAAGCCAGAAGACCTACAAAGACAGACTGGTGCCAAGTGCCTTACTATATGGAAGCCTAAGAGAGGAAAAAATAAAATAAAAGTATGTAAGGACAGCAAGAATAAGATCGAGCACAATGTGATCACCTGGTTCCAGTTATTTCTAGAGACCAATTCTAGCATGTATTGCAACCACCTGCTGCCTTACATGTCACAATCATTATTTGTGTCTGCACAGGAGTTAACAGGCTGGGTGGGCATAGTTATATCTGATATTGCATGGCCAAACAGCAGGGATGGTAGACCGAATGGTCAAATATCCATGGACTTCCCCTTTCACTACTCCTCTTCGCGATTTCCCTGGAGCCACTACTACATTCCATCAGAACTGACCTACAAATACAGGGGGTATAGATCATGAATCAGGAAGTAAAAGTGGTAGCATATGCAGACGATGTGTTACTGATGATGACCGACCCAAAATGCTCCATGGCCAGATTAGATAAATTTTACCAAGTCGATAGCAATGCCCTTTCACATGACCGACCAGAAAGTGATGCTAATCAGACAGATCCACTACAACAAAACCACAGACGCACTCACGTACCTAGGAGTACAAATAACAGCAGACCCAAACGCATTATTCAGGTACAATTACACACCACTCTTCATAACACTGAAGAACGACCTAGAAAAATGGACAGATAAACCCTTAACATGGCTGGGGCAGCTACATTGAGTTAAGATAAATGGTCATGCCCAGACTGCTGTTCCTCTTCCAATCTATACCAGTGGGGATCACGAGGAGAGACCTTGCTAACATACAGAGAGCTATAGATGCATTTATTTGGAAGAGGAAACGACCCAGATTAGCCTGCACCATACTTTATGGGCCTAAACTGACAGGTACATCTATACGTTAATGACGAGGTAGTAACATATGAACACCTGAGATCGCTTGCCCCCTTAGGCACTCGCGATTTCTTCAGATATGTACAGTTTAGGGACTTTGCGCAGATCGTCGTGGTTAAAAAAAAAGAAGTGCTTTCAGGAAACATCACCAACGAAACCGATCTCACTGCTATATAGTCACATTAGGTCGGAATCGGGGGAATGGGGTACACTACAATATACAGACTGCTGGGAGCCAGACTTAGGAGAAACGTTGGAGGGAAATGAATGGCAAGACATCTGGGAGGCCTGTACAAAGACATCCATATGTACTTCCCTACAGGAACAGGCATACAAAACGCTCTTTAGGTGGTACACGACCCCTATCAAACAATGCCACATGAAAGTAAGCCCAACGGACACTTGCTGGCACCTATGCGGAAGGAAAGGTAGCTATATACACACACATGTGGTGGCACTGTCCCAAAGTCTGGGATTTCAGGCGCGGTGTGGTAGACTTGGGCACACTAATACTGCAGAGACGGCTTACACTAGACCCATGGACCTGCCTCCTGTCCAAAACTAGCTAAACCAGAGCAAAGATTTTTGAACATGCTCTATCTGGCAGCCCGCAGAGCATTAGCCCAGCATTGGATAAAACCAGAGACTCCCCAGCTAGCCTTAATCATTTCTAAACTCAAGGATAACTACCTGATCAATAAGTTGACATTAAAGGTCCGCAAATATTCTCCTTCAAGAAACTGTGGGATCTGTGGGAAAAATTTGAAGAGGAACACACACCATAAACCAGAATTGCAGAGGAGGGTATGGGGAGAATAAGGAGGGGGATCGTTCGCCTTTGGTGCCATTCCATCACAATGGTCCTCGCAAACTAGCTGGAGTGGGCTAACTTTACCAATAGGGGGTCTCAGTTGGTGGCTCCGCGGACAAGTGTTCTGATGGGGCATGGCGGTCACCAGCAGAGAGAAATCTCCGGATCAAGATACGCAGGACCAGAGCAAGATAGCCTAGATACTAACAAAATGACCGGCGTTGCTAAGACAACATCAAGTGTTTAAGCTCGTAGAACTGTACCATTTTGTCAATGATGAGCCCTAAAGAGGCAGAGATTGCAGGCGACATGGGTGAGGTAATGGGCAAGGCCAGTAGCGGTACTGCTTAGGCCCCCTGGAGGGCAGCCAGACGCCCATGCAACATCTCATGCCAACAAGAAGTCCTGTTTGACGAAATGAGTGGGTTTGTACAAAAGTGTAGGTTAAAACATGGCTTTCTCCAAAATAGAATGTAATTGTAGAGGCCAGACCCTTTTACCCCTAACTAAAAACTTTTATCAGTCAGACATTACTTCACATGTCAGTGAAAACTGTACAGGACAAAACAAACCAAAACCACGACAATATGTCAACATCCCACTGTACTGTATATGAATAAACCACCCTTGCTCATGACAAGTCTGTGCACATTCCTCATAATTCAGTAAACCATAAATATGACCTTATGTCCCACCACACACACACTATTAAATTTGAGCCAGTCTATTGGATATTAAATATATTTTACTTCGTTTCAGCACAGCTTATTTACTCCGTTATACACCGCTTTTCTTTTTATTTTAAAAGGCACAGACTGTTCCTGCTTTCATAAAGATTTAACAAGGGAAGACTAGTTAATTTCGAGACACGGGAAGCAAACAAGGTTGTTACTTGAAGTGAGCTGCCTCTTGCCAAATGCAGACAATAAGCCAGCACCCCACCAAGTCATCAATAGAATGGGCCAACCCTTCCACCACAAACTGCAAACCAACACCACAGGAATGTAAAAACATTACAACACACGGAGCAAAGCTAAACAACGACAATTTGCAGACATCACATCACTTCAAATCAAACCCAGCACCCATCCAATCCTAAAATCATCATGATGAAAAGTAACCAATACCCCAAATTGATACATAATAGAAATAGGACTAAAATGCAGGACAAAGCATACCATGGGTACATTTATTCTAATCAAAAAGTATTGAATCATGCCCCCAACCACTTTTTGGGAATCTGTTCTAAAGAGAAAAATCATTAAGATGTTTGATGCAGATAAGGACAGAAGACATAACAGTACGCAAAATATGTAAGAGGAATTACCTTTGTAGGTTTCATACATGGGGGATGTTCAAAAAAAGTGTTCTCAAAAAAAATAAAATCACTGTTTGAGATACTTTTAAGATTCATCACACAGACCAGCACAGCAAACAGTTTAAATATAGAGATCTGAGCATCTGTTTCGATGAATCTACGTCAAAAATCGGCAAAAGCAAAGTAAGGAGAGAAAAGAATTCAAAGAAAACAAGGGGTTCTTTCATGTATTAAACCAGGTGCATTGTTTTGTTCTAGCTTTAACCAGAATTACTAGTCAAAAGACTTTCATAGCTACATCGTATAGCTTTTAGTGTCACATTCCTTATGCTATTTTCATCCATCAGTTGAACGCAGCTTAGTTAAATTCAGCAAATGCCTTTTGGTGATACAAGATATAACAATCTTCAAAAATTATTGTCATGTACTGCCAGTATAAAATACAGCCAAGTGAGTGATATCTGCGTGCAATGAAGCTGCTAAATGGTCTACAGGCTTTAAATCGTATATTTGAATTAAAGAAGAATAAAAAAAATAAAAAAATATTTATACGTTGTGCAGATTGATATACAAGGCAATATTTTTCTATCGAATGTATTTTTCATTACATACACAAAAAAAAAAAAATTTAAGAAGTCTATTTTGCTCTTAAAATAAACGGCCGTAAATAGGAACAATCTGGAATCTGGAAATCACTAAAAAAAAAAATATCAAATATACACACCCTTCATTAGAACAAGGAAGAAAGGGAACATTTCAATGGTCTTGAGTATTCAAAAAATAAATAAATAAAAATACAGGCCAAATGTTTACCCTCATTAGCTTATATTTTAATTGTGCCTTAAATAATAATAATAATAATAATAATAATAATAATAATAATAAATAATAAATAATAATAATTAAAAAAGAAAATCTAAATATTGGTGAAAATGGTCAAATTCAATTGAAATATTCCCATTAAGGAATACATTGTATCATCATAACCATCTGGTCCTTCAAGACTCTGCTACAATCGAGATGGAATGTCCTACTCATTTAGTGTCAGCCATGCCCTATAGAACTGACAGTGCTAAATAAGCAGGATATTCCACTGTTTATATACGCCTGATTTTGAGGATGAAATGGGACCTTAAGAGGTTAATTAGGGCAGCAAACAATGTAGACCTGCAGATCAACAAAAGCAACTTAGCAGTGCAGATAAAGCCAAGATAAGTTTCCTAAAAAGGTCTATAAAGATGCTAACTAGCTGTTTAAATGACTAATTATGTGGCAAATTACCAGTTGGAGGAAATGCTAAAAGGTTAGGAAATTAGGAGATTGTCAGTGTACAAAATTGGCCTTCTTACCCCACCCTGAGGTTTTTGTTTTTTTAAATCAGATATCCAAAAAGATAAGATTTGGAAGGTAGGAAGTAACTACACAGCCCTTGAGGAAACACACAAAACAAGCAACAAACATCACAATACAAATGTTGAAACAAGGTTTCACATTCAGTTAAAACAGGTATCAATCATTTAGTCAAGTAACCCAGTGAATGCATCATTAACAACGAGTACAGCAATGCTGTTCTCCCCCTTTCCTTACAGAAAAAAAAAGAAAAAACAAGCTACCATGGAAGTTCAGGCATGAGCTTTTTCTTAAAATATATTTTTACTTAATTGTGCCTGGATGTCATACATGAAAAAAGAAAGAAATTAAGTTAGATTGTGGCAACTGAATTTTTGTACAGTACAACCAATGCCAGATAGTACTCTGGAGAATTGCACTGCAAAAAGTGATCTACGTTGCACACTTGGACCATCTCTTACAATTCTTGTTCGATTTTTGGTGCAAAATTTAAACAGTTTTATAGTGAAAAGCATTTTATATCCATCTGTAGACCATGATGTTGCAGGTGCACTACCTTTAAAAGTTAAAAACCATTTTAGACATTTACATGCCGCCAGGGTAATTTACTAAAACAATTAATTAAAATTAAATTGCAAAACAAAGGCAAAATTAGGTGATCTGAAAAATATTCTCCAACCAAGTTATAGCTTTAGTTTGGCTATTTTGCCTTACTTTTGTGAAACTTAAAATCCCCTACAATCTGGGGTTTAGAAAATAACCAATATAAATTCTGGAATTTTTTAATGTATTTTTTTTTTTTTTTTTTTTAAATTAAGTTCCCCAAGCACCAGTTTCTTAGTTAAACCATTTCCAGTCTAGTCCACAACCTCAACAGTTAACAGACAGTTTTTCACATACAGGTGTAGGAAACACTTTTCTGTACATAGGTATTGTAGTAACCCTTTTATCTCTTTCAAAAATATCCCACAGGGTACAATTACTCCTAGGTTTCAAATCTCTGACACAGTCATTTGCTGTTTTTTGTAAGAAACAATTGGAAGAAAACGGTTTCTACGGTTATGTTGTAGGCATTAACATGTCCATGTAACTATTTGCAATGTACACTCCACAATTACTCTTTCATGAGCCTTACTACACTGGATTATGTTTACTACTGAAACTGCTGACTTCCTGCCACAAATTCACTAGAATGCTCAATTAAATCAGGAATATAATCCAACAGCAGCTAGCATAGAGGAGAGAGATTTGGAAAAAGATAAAAGGGGTGCCTATATGCATGATTACAAATGCATAAAACATTTAGAGACTAAACCTGGCATTAGTTATATACAACATACACAAAAGGGGGAGGGGTGGTAAATTAAAAATTTTTAAATGTCTATTTAAACAGATGAGTGGTTACAAAATGAAAAAGTGTGAAAAAAAAAAAAAATAATCAGAAAAGTTACAAAAAATAAAAAAATAGTTGCACTTTAGTTGACAGCAAATTCTTAACTGTAGTAAAAGATTTTTAAAAATTAACTTTATTTTTCTTTTTAAATCAGAGAAAACCGTTTTGTTGTCGAGGATTAGATCTTCTTAAAATAAAATGTCCCTCTTACAATGCAGACTGTGTGTCTGGCCCTAACCAGAGGACGTGAGGCCAACTTAACCCATAACGGTGTGGACAGTACAGGCATTGGGAAAATTGGGTATTTCAAACAGAAAAGCTGTGTCTCTCACATCACGCATTCACTGTGAACACACCACCTCATGGGGAGAGATCTACCTTGTCTGACTTGCAATTACAGAGCCATGAAATTGAGCTATAGTTTGTGAAATCCTTTGAGTTCAAGCAAAAAAAAAAAAAAAAAAAAACCACCACACATTCCCAAACCAATTTAGTATTCACTTCATATTTACAGACTAAACGATTTTTATAAATGAGGATACAGGTTTAAAGACTGGGAAATAATTTTATATTAAGATGAGAAAATGGAGGCACAGGAACAGAAATTTCATTGTTAAACTGACAGTGTAATTGTCTGTTTTATAGAGTGGTGAAATAGAACACTGTATAATATTACATTGAATAATGTACTATCATTACACTCCGTTTATGGCAATTTCCTACTCACACAATTTAAATAGAGACTGGCTGGTCAAAATATTTTATATTACATAATGGCTCGCTGCTTAGGGAAAAAGTTATTCTAAAAATAAAACATTTTATTAAACAAAAAAATAAATTAAAAAAATTATATATTATATATATAAAAATTAGATATGATGATGCAGAAACAAAGGCTTCTTGACTACACAGGCAATGAATTGGTAACTTCTCACTCATGTTACAAATGTGCATCATCAGATGTGAAAACATGCAGGATTTATCTAAACCTTTTTCTGACTAGAGTGGGGAATGCCATAATAAAATAAAAACTACTAAAACTCTGTAAAATGGAGATGTATATGCCACAAGTTCCATTCCTGCAAACCAGGCAATCGCAAGATACAGAAACCATTGGCAAGGGCTTGTAGTAGCCCCCCTCCACAAAGATTCTGAAAAAGCTCATCTTAGTAATAAGGCCAGGCCCAGGATAGGCCATAGGTACCCCACAGTATACCACACCCCAGAAAACAAATCATCAGAGCAAAGCTGGAAACAACTACAGGTTCAATGTACTGTAAATGTATTTTAGCCTAGTTATTTTATTGCAAGCCTTTATCAAAATAAATAATTTATTATTATTATTATTATATATTTAATATATAAAAAACTAAATCTATAAAAACAGTTAACCCACTAGGTCTTCTTTACACAGATACACGCTGGGTTATTATACAACAAACAGTACCAGCTTAGGGGTGTTAATGCTTTTTTTGATGGCTGTGGAAAATGGGAGTAAGAACCTAATGCAGGTCATCAATCCAAAGAACTTGTGGCATATCACGCAGCACCAGATGCAGATTTCCTCCTACTGATATCAAATATATACTGCACGGATGCCCTATGAAAAGGAACCTAAATGAAAATTTAAAAAGGACGCCTATACACCCCTTTTTATTAAATGCAGGTAGATCCCTAAAACAAAGATACAGAGCTCCCTACAGATCACCCTAAAAACAAAAATACAGAGCTCCCTACAGATCACCCTAAAAACAAAGATACACAGCTACCTTTAGATCACGCTAAATAAAATACAGAGCTACCTATAGATCCCCTTATGAAATGCAGGGCACGTACAGATCCCTCTATAGAATGCAGTAACACAGCTCCGTATAGAATGCTCGGACACACGGATTCCCCTATAGAATCCAGGGATTATAAATATAGAATGCTCGGACACCTTATAGAACGCAGGATACGTTCGGTCCTCCATGGAATGCTCGGACACTAATCCCCAATAGAACGTACAGAGCGCGGCTTACCTTCCACGGCTCGCACCGCCGCCGGCAGCAAGCAGACGATCCACGCTAGGAGCATTGCTAGATCCCCGCGGACTCTGTAACAAGGACAGGGGGTCCGCTCATCCATCCAGCCGGGCGGGCTCCAGCGGGTGTCTCCGGGATGCTGTGTGTGCTATCCGGGGCTCAGACTGTGCGTTCCCTGCGGGTGTACTGGCCGCCCGGCCGCGGTATATGGAGCCCGGCTCTGAGCTTGCTTGTTTGCTCCCTCCGCCCACCCGCGGGTACACTCCGATCACTCCCGAACCCGCACTGCAGCCACAGCTCAGTCTGGAGAGGGGGATGTGTCAATCACAGCGCTGAGCCCCGCCCACCCGTCCTAGTCTGCAAGCACCTGGCCTATGGCTAACCTGGCACCGTTTGTAGCCCCGCCCAGGTACGCGTGGAGCACGTGGGCACGTGAGGATTGTGGGCGTATCCTAGTAAAAAGATGAATTGAGTTGGGCGGAGCCTTACCTGGGTTACCCCGCCCACTCTATCCATTGGAAGATGACTCTGTCACCATGGAAACGCAGTAGAATATGTCAATCACTGCTGGTCCGCTCTTGTGCTTTGGACACTAGCGCCCCACTGCGACCGTGAGCGGAACTGCAGCCAATGGAAAAGTGTTAAAGGAGGAAGAAATAAAATGAAAGGTGCAGGAAATAGGACAAGAATAATGGATAGTGTGGGAGAATCATTAAAGGTAATCTGTCATCGTGTTCATTTGAAAGCCTGGCCTCTTATTCCGTCTGCTGTGCTCTGGAATCCAGCTCTCTCAGTCTGACCCTCTCATTCCATGAGCGCTGACCTAGTGTTCACTAAGTATTGGGAGAAATATCAAACTACAGGGATCTATTTTTTTTTTTTTAAATAACATCTGCTGAGCTGCTCCATTAATTCCAGGCTCCAGCTTTGTATAAACAGCAATGTATATTACTGGTGCTCATGTCATGTCCAAGTACAACATTAAATATGTTACTGTGTGTAGACAGAAATCCTGATAAATACAATATTCAGATTTAGAAAGAAAATCAGATTGTTGTGTGCCATATTACAGATACATAATGACATCACTTCCGGCCCTGGTAAATAAGTGCAGCTTGCAGACCTTGTATGACGTCATCATGGTAATACCTGGACCCCTCAGTGGACAGACTCACAGAATTATTATTATAATAATAATTACTGGCCCTAAATAGTTGAAATAATAAGTGGATATCGGATTTCATGGAAACCGATGTTTTATTTTATCATAGTATTACTTGCCCTGGATTATTCTCCGTTAAAAAAAAAAAATCTGAGCAGTGGTCCAGTTTCAAAGGGAGTATGTGCTGTTATTTTGGCTTTGATCCCTACAGGACCAGAATGTTTACACCTTTTACCCGTGGAGGATTTGGTCTGCATCACAACAACACCTGCAGGCATGTGCAATAGTTTGATACATGTGCATTTCAGTGCATGTGTATACAGGGCTATCGTCAGAAAATGTTCCAGAGGGGGCAAAGTTGTATCTGCATGTAAGTCATTATAATCAAAGGAAGGGCAATTTCTCCATGCGGGTGCATGCAGGGCCGGTGCAATGATTTTTGTAGCCCTGGGGTTGAATCTATATATGGAGAGAAGCACTAAAGTTTTTGCAATACAGGTTTATATTCCTAACACTATAATAATCCTTTAAAAGTATTGTTTAGCTTTTTTGTTTTTTATATTAAAACTGTCTTCTGTGCACAAATGCAATCACTGACAGATACATACATCCAAAGATACACACAAGTTGCAAACTGACAACCACACTGATCCATGTAATCACACAAACACACTGATCCATGCAGACACACACACACACACACCCACACACTGATCCATGCAGTCACACATACATTGCTCCATGCAGACACATACACACTGACACAAACATGGACCCATGCAGACACACACCAACATAAAACACACACACATATTGACCCATGCAGACACACACACACACTGACCCATGCAGACACACACTGACAAAAAAACATACACTGTCACAAACATACACACTGACCCATGCAGACAGACACAAACACACACACTGACCCATGCTGTCACAAACCTGACACAAACACACCCACTGACACATGCAGGCAGACACACACTGACCAATGCAGACACACATACACAAACATACACACTGACCATGCAAACACACTGAAAAAAAACCACACACTGGCACAAACATACACACTGGCCCATGCAGACAAACACACACACTGACACAAACACACACACACTGACACGTGCAGACAGACACACACTGACCAATGCAGACACTGACACAAACACACACAAATTCTCTGAAACACACACCTTCATTTCATGTATCAGTTGCATGCGCACACACTCCAGGCATCTTGAGTGCGTCTGGCATCTTGTCATTCCCTGCATCCACCTCACTTTCTTCTGTGCTCCCGCCCACTTGTCACCAAGCACAGGACAGGGGGCAGGAGTGAGAAGTGCACCCAGTGAAAGGCCTACTGCGCCCGTGCACTACTTCATGGGATAAAGTGCAGCCAGGCGCCGGCCAGGAGGTAATTCATCATCTTGCAGTAACGACCGCTGGCACCTGGCTGCAATGGCCAGATTTACAACTCGTTACTGGGTCTGTCTGGATGGTCCAGTCGCCCGGACACACCCATACACCATTAGCTGGAGGTTTTCCCCAGCGCCCCCAGAGAACTGGCGCCCTAGGCCACTGCCTAAGTGGCCTAATGGAAGCGCCGGCCCTGAGTGCTTGCATTATCTTGCCCTATGCTGTCGATGTCTATGTGTCATACCTCCAAAGTGTCCCTATTTTGGTGGTACAGTCCTTATTTTGAACCTAAATCCCACAGTCCCTCTTTTCTATCCCAATGTCCCTCTTTTCTAGGAGCTCCATATTGTTGGTTTATCTGTGTATAACAGAGCTTCCGAGCAATACAACTCACAGTAATGTGTCTTTAAACTAAAATAAATGTGTTTGGAAATCAGTCTGTGTAAATGTTACATTGTTCTAAATTACATTTTTGTTGCATAAACTGTTATTAGAGAACAGACCCACACTTGGCCAATCCCAATCACACCCCTAATATTTGTGTCCATTTTTGTGTATTTGAAATATTGGCTGGCCTTTTTATTAAAATGAAATGGGGGGAAAGGGTAGAGTTACAATTTTTTTTTTTTAGCGAATAAACCCCTTTGACATGGACTTTCCCCACACCCTATCTCACATCTTTCTAGGCACTGCTATGGAAATGTATACTTTAAGGCCGCATTGAAATAATTTCTTCCTTAATAGATGCATGTTTTATAAGCATCCCTAATTAATTTGGCTGTATCATCATGTGATATAGATTGTTGCCAGTAATGCAGGTTTTCTTGAAGTCCTCACACACCCCAGTGATTCTCCCAGCAGCACACGTTGACCTGTCAGAATGTTTGCATCTCTTAATGTTTGACCTGTGATTGTGCGGGAAGCTCTTGAAACCTGCATTGAAATAAACATATTGAAACTCTGTCATCTGGTGTGTACCAGCTTTTCCCTAAAGATACATTCAAAACTTTATTGTAATTTAGTCTGCCCATCTGGAGAACTCTCCACATGGACAGCGTAAATTAGCAAAATAAATGCCCTGGAGTCTGCAAGAGGCAGATATTCCTTTGATCTGTGATGGCTAACCTTTGGCACTCCAGCTGGACTACATTTCCCATGATGCACACCCAACTTAATTCCATCATTGCCCAAGAGAAAACAATCTATAATTGAAATTCTGAAAGTGACAAAATCGTGTCCCCTGGGTGTGGTTAACGAATACTGTGCCAACTGAGAATACAAACAGCATTCTTGAAATTAGAGACAGTGGCATTGTTCAAATTCAAATCTGGGTGACAATATCGCCCTTGTAGTGAAGGACACTTAAAATGCATATTTTTGAACTGTATATATTAAAATGAAGAGTGACATCCAAATTTCAATGATTATAACCCTGAAGTATGCATTTTGTAGTAGTGTCCAGGGTGAAATCAGGGATATGGTCTCTGTATTCCAGTCATGTTGCTCAAATGAAATAGGTTATCATTACAATAACATTACGTGTTTTGGTTAGAGTGCGGACCTTGATTAATAGTTTGAGAACCATAGTCAAGTAAGCATACCAATTCTGATTTCAGAGGCACAGGTCAATACCTGCTCAAAATTGTAATACGTATAATGACAGTGCAACCCTCCTTATCCTTCACTCAACTAATGCAGTAAGTTATAGAATACTGCAGTAGCTACGAGTTATATTTAGTAACATGCCATTTTCACGGGAAAAGTATATGCAGCGTAGAAAAAAAAAAGAAAAAGAGAAAAGACTTTCATTCAAAGTGAAATTTACATTCAAAGTGAATTTCGAATTTAAGACGAAAATATTGGAATTAGAAAAATTATTTAATTCAGCTATGATTTCAGTTTGACTACTTTGTCCTAAAATGTAAAATTCGCTTTTTATTCACTTAGAATTCTCACATTAATGAATGACACAAAAAGCTATGGACTAAAACCATTACACTTTATAAAGGAATTCATATTTCTTTTTAATGAATTATTCAATAACCCGTAAATATGACAGCTGCAACCATACTCAATAGACAAAACTTTTTAGCCAGTCAGTTATAAATAATGACCAATTTAATATCAAACCAGCCAGATTCACCCTCTAACATGCTAACCAAGAAGATGAATTTGCACCCTCTGGAAAAAAATACCACAACATTAATAAAAAAAACATAAAGTAACTAAAGACAATGACTTCACCTCTGATGACTGCACAGCCCTAATGCAATTCACCCTTTAGAAACTCACATTATCCGTCCACAATTTGCCTTAAGACTTCACTAATCAATCCTTGTCCTTGGTACCTGCCATTTGCAAAATCGTCATTAAATGTGCCCAGAGATAAGTAATTTACACAGAGAGAATGGCACTGCCCAATCACAGGTAGTTAACTCTCTAATGGTTAGACTTCATTAACCCAGCTTATGATGCCCAAGGCATAGTGCCTGTGGCATTCCAAATAGTATGTAGCACAGGAACAGTTACAAATGCTTTATACAGGCAATGAGTCATATAAAATAGATAGTCTTCAAAGAAATGTGTGCTGTAAATGTGCCTGCTATACTACATGCATAACAAATAAGTCCTAAACTCCAATATAGAGCAGCCACATAATTTGCAGGTGAACAGACAGAGTCATAGTATGAGAATGCAACGAATAGCAGTCA